CGTTTAGTTTACTGGTGTAGTTTAGTTTACTGGTGTGGTTTAGTTTACTGGTGTAGTTTATTGGTGTAGTTTATTGGTGTAGTTAAGTTTATTGGTGTAGTTTAGTTTCTGGTGTAGTAGTTGATTTTACTTCACCTCATGTGAAAATATCTGAACCAGCCCTTTAATACTCCATTAGTTAGAGAGAGATGTGTGTGTGTGTCTCGTCTCGTTCATTTCTTCCTGAACATTCTCTACTTCTCTGCTGAACTTTTTAATTGAAAAAGAAGTTGGACTAAATGCCAAGTGACACACACACACTCACACACACACACACACACACACACACACTCACACTCAAACACAGACACACACACAGACACACTCACACAGCTTTCTGGCCCATTAGCTCACAGATCACTATGGCGACCAAAGTCGACCTCCAGAATACTGATGAGGGTTCAGACTGAAGTCCTCTGTGTACTGTACACAGTACTACTGCAGTACTCCTGTGTACAGTAGTACACAGGCAGAATACAGTACTACTGCAGTACAGTTCATGTACAGCAGATAGATATATATTCAGAAGAACAAAAACGTGATCATCAGAAATCTGAGAAGTTTGTTCATATAAATACAATAAACACATCAAATATAACAAAGATTTACAATAGAAAATATGAAAAATACATAAAAGTACATGTGGTATTACAGTGGCAGCCTGTACAGTTATTCAAGTACAATATGTACTTGTACTTCCTCCATGTAGGATTTCTGGAAAGAGACGGATGTTGAAACAGTTTAGATTTTTAGAGTGAACTGTCCCTTTAAAAAAAAACTCTGTTTCTATTTGAGTACCATGGTATTGTAGTATTAGTACTGTGTGTGTATGTGTCTGTGTCTGTGTGTGTGTGTGTGGTTGCGTAGCGACGCTGAATGCACAGATTGGCTGTAACATCTGTCACACTGAACGCTCTGTCTGAACTTCTGTTATTAAAATACTACAGTTACACAAGTACATGTATGAGGTAGTACTACTACTTCACTCCAGTATTCCTCTAACGCTACATTTATCTGATTTATTAAGTTTGAAAACCTTCATCTCACAAAGTACTAGGAGAGAGGAAGCAACAGAGGTGGGAGGAGACGAGGAGGGGCAAAGGAAACAGTAGGGAGGGAGGAAGAAGGCAAGGAAGGAAGGAGACAAGAAGAGATGGTGAAAGTGAGACAGATTGATGAAGATGACGGAGGAGGAGGAGGAAAAGAGATGATGAAGGAAGTGTAGAGGAATAAAGAGATGAGGAGAGGAAGTGAGGGAACAAACTGAGGAGAGATGGATAAAGAGGACGATGATGATAATGATAATGATGATGCTGACTCTGATGATGAAGATGATGATGCCTGATGAAGATGCTCTCTCTGTGTTTAGGACTCAGCGGGGGGGCCGACACCACCGACTGTCTGTACTACAACGTGAACTTTGAGCTGGAGCGGACCAATCAGAGCGGAGTGGAGCGCTGTGAAGGAGAGCAGGAGAAACGCTCCCACTGCTACGCCTCCTGGAGGAACATCTCAGGCTCCGTGGAGCTGGTGAAGAAGGGCTGCTGGCTGGACGACTTCAACTGCTACGACCGGTAATCTAGTTCCCACAAGTCATTGTCTTCATTCCACAAGTCATTGTCTTCATTCCACAAGTCATTATCTTGTTCCCACAAGTCATTATCTTCATCCCACAAGTCATCTTCATTCCACAAGTCATTATCTTCATTCCAGAAGTCATTGTCTTCATTCATAAGTCATTATCTTCATCCCACAAGTCGTTATCTTCATTCCACAAGTAATTTCTGGACATCACAGCAGAGACATGCAGGGACCTCAGATGGAACATCAGAGTTGACGACCCAGATCTCTTTCTCACCAGATATTGTTGATATTTGTGTATCTTGTATATAATAGTTTCTTGTCTCCGGCTCGTCCCTCAGACAGGACTGTGTCGCCACAGAAGAAAGTCCTCAGGTCTTCTTCTGCTGCTGTGAAGGAAACTTCTGCAACGAGAAGTTCACACACCTGCCGGATGTCACGGGACCTCGTGAGTCATATTTAATAAACATATCTATATTTCATGAATCAGTGTGTGTCTGTGCATCTTCACTGATGGACGTGTTTGTATATTTGTGATGTCAGTGATCAAAGCTCCGCCCCCTGGCCTGTTGAACGTGATGGTTTACTGCCTGCTGCCCTTCGTCATGCTGTCTGTGGTTCTGCTCACCGCCATCTGGATGTACCGGCACCGGAAACCTCCGTACGGACACGTGGACCTTGCTGAGGTGTGCACACACACACACACACACACACACACAAACACACACAGTGAGAACATGGTGTCATAGCTCCCTCTAGTGGAACTGCAGCTGTATTGCATTAAATGTGAGGTATTATAATATTTGTTAATCATTTTCAGCATTTTTGGTTTTTATAGATATAGAAGACAAACAGTCCAGAGGTTTCCAACCTGGTCCCTGATGTCATCATCAATAATAATAATAATAATAATAACTTGAGCAGCAACTTAAAAACACGTGTAATTAATATGTATTATCATGTGTATTATTTTATTTTAAATGGTAATAATATCCTAAATATATTATTACTACTACATCTAGAAAATAACTAAAGAAAAATAATTCTAATATACTCATTTATTTATTTAGCACTTTTCTCAACAATGTAGTACTAATAATAATAATAACATACAATATAGATGAGGTGATGTCATCAAAACACCAGAATCAAACAAACAGACATCTCCCAGATGATTAAATGTGATGTGAAAGAGTTCAGTTTAAAGACAATAGTCTCTGTGATGTCATTGTTCAGTTTGAGGAGGTCCAGCGGTGAATATGAGACATGTTAGTCGGCTCTGATTGGTGGATTATAACGAGACATATAACGGGGTGTCGTCAGCATAATGATGTATTTTTATCTTCTTTTCTTGTCTCGTACTTTTCTATTTCGTTAAAGAAGAACATCATGTGAGGCAGCAGAATCCTGACTTTCACACAGCATGTCTACTTCCTGTTGACCTTGTTGACCTTGTCCCCTCAGCATCCTGGTCCTCCCCACTCCTCCCCCCTGCTACGTCTCAAACCTCTGCAGCTGCTGGAGGTGAAGGCCCGAGGACGCTTCGGCTGTGTCTGGAAGGCTCAGATGATCAACGAATACGTGGCCGTCAAGATCTTCCCCATCCAGGTTCAGACTCACACCCTCTCTGTGTGCTTTTGTGTCTGGACAACCGACTCTCATCTCCTCTTCCTCCTCTTCCTCACAGAACAAGGACTCGTGGGTGAACGAGACCGACGTCTTCATCACACCGGGGATGAGGCACGAGAACATCTTGAGGTTCATCGGTGCAGAGAAACGAGGGAGTCACCTGGAGGCCGAACTGTGGCTCATGACCGAGTTCCACGAGAGGGTGAGGAGGAGGTTAGGGTTAGCTGTTATTGGTCATTTGTTAACTGGTTCAGATGTATCGGTTCTTCGGGGATCACCCTCGAAGTGTAATAAATATTAATTAATTTTTTTATTTGACTATATTTATCCCAGTAAGGTGGACATTTGTCTCTGCATTTGAGCCATCCCTGTATATAGGGAGCAGTGGGCTGCCTATGACGGGAGCCATTAGGGGTTCAGTGTCTTGCTCAGGGACACTTCGACACAGCCAAGGATCGAACCATCAACCTTGCGGTTACCAGACAACCCTCTTAACCCAGTGAGCCACGGATGATACATATCAAAGAAAATGTGCCTCTCAACCGACACATCTGAACCACGACATGTTTACGTTAGTTGCTAGCTGTTATCTGTTAGCCGTTAGCTGCTAGCCAGCCACCATACAAAACAACAGTGTGTCTCTGGTCTCAGCTGTGTTTCACTAGTGCCCCTGCTGGCCGGTAGGAGTAGTGAGACAGGAACTGGACTGGATGTGGTTTTGAATGAAGACCTGAGGGACCTGGTCTGTGTCTCTGCAGGGCTCCCTGTCTGACTTCCTGAAGGGGAACATCGTCAGCTGGTCAGAGTTGTGTCACGTCTCTGAGTCGATGGCGTGCGGCCTGTCTTACCTTCATGAGGACGTCCCCCGTCTGAAGGGAGGGGGGGCCAAACCGGCCATCGCCCACAGGTCAGAGGTCAAGGTCACGTAGCAATGATGGAGATCTTATTATTATTATTATTATATTATTATTAAATATAATTATTATTTATTAATATTCTTTGCATCTTCTTCTTTTTATATTTATTATTATTATTATTGCTTTTATTATCGTTTTTATTATTTTATTTTATTTTTTTCTTCTTTTTCTTCTTCTTCTTCTTCTTCTTTTCATTATTATTATCATTATTATTATTATTATTATTATTATTATTATTATTGTTATGTTAGAATAACATTATTTTAGATATAACTGATAAACGATGTTGGTGATGCGTTTTAGTTCCTGTATGAAGGACGTAAAACAGAACGTTTAGTTTACACACAGACGATTTAAAGAGGTGTCTGCAGTAACGACGTTCAGCCACATGATGGAGCCAGAGAGTCTGTTACCGCTCTGCAGATTAAAGAGATCAAAGCGTCACTGCAGACATCAAACAGAATAACTCAACACTACTTCCTGTTTACGTCCCTGTTACGAGGTCATCAAGCATTTCATTACTAACAACATGGAAGATGATACAATGAGATATCCTAAGTATAAAAACCTTTGACTAAAACAAGAATTTACAACCTGACTTCATCCAACGCTCTTTAATTAGATACATACAATTTACATATTCAAAGAAAACTTGTAATATAAAAAAGTAAAAGTCTTAACTGTGAGACTTTCATTTTGATTACTTCACCTGTAGAGTCTTAATATCATGATGAAGACTCATGATGAAGACCCCATCTACAGGGTTGTGGTAGTCCTCCTATAATGGGGGACGGTCTGTAGACCCCCCCATCAACAGGGTTCTTGTAGTCCTCCTATGATGGGGGCGGTCTGTAGACCTGGTCTCATGTCCTCATGTCCTCGTGTCTCTTCAGGGACTTTAAGAGTAAGAACATCATGCTGCGTTCAGACCTCACCGCCGTCATCGGAGACTTCGGCCTCGCTGTTCGCTTTGCTCCGGGAGAACCACCTGGAGAGACTCACGGACAGGTGAGCCATCGGACCGCCAAGAGTCACACACCTACACACCGAGCACGGCCTCATGTGTGTGTGTGTGTGTGTGTGTACAGGTGGGGACCAGACGCTACATGGCTCCAGAGGTTCTAGAAGGAGCCATCAACTTCCAGAGAGACTCCTTCCTGAGGATCGACATGTACGCTCTGGGTCTGGTGCTGTGGGAGCTGGTGACTCGCTGCAGGGCTGTGGACGGTAACACTCATACATTATATTATTATAGTTTGTTATGTTCTGTTTAC